TCTAATTTATATATCAAGTTTGAACAAAATCCATCTGTAAACAGCCGAGAAATGCTTGATTTTTAGGATTTTTTAGCACAAAAATGGCCGCCATTCGGCCATCTTGAATCAGATCGTAAAACAAAATGATGTGCATCAAGGTCCTATAATGTCTAATGTATATACCATGTTTGAACAAAATCCATCTGTAAACAGCCGAGAAATGCTTGATTTTGATGATTTTTAGCACAAAAATGGCCGCCATTCGGCCATCTTGAATCAGATCGTGAAACAAATTGACGTGCATATGTATAATATCATGTATGATGTATGTGTGAAGTTTGATTGTGATTGGTCCAGGCATTTCTAAGATACAGGTTCAGACGCACACACAGACGGACATGCACGCATGCACGCACGCAGGTAGGAGGGCATGTTAGCTGCATGTAATACACAAATTATCAAAAATGATTTTGAATCTTGTTATGGCTTCAAACACAGTTGATGCAGACACAACAAACAATTCATACAACCATTTCACAATATCTAAGCTGTACATATTGTCTGCATGGTATGGAACATATAAATTAAATTGAAATAATCTGTGATATTAGATGACTGCTCCAAGTTTCTTTCACTCTATTTTCCTCTCACTACATGTTCCCTATAAACATACTCACCAGAAGGAGCTGTTGTCACTTCTGGAATACCCGGTGGTACACTCAGTGGTTCTGTGGCTACTAGAAAGATAGTTATACCAATATTAATGATTTCACAATAAAATATGAGAACAGCCAATATTAGATTTCACAATCATTTATTATATTGAGTATATCACGCAAGTTTTGCACATCAATAAAACTTTTCTTTAAAACACGGCACATGGCAAATATTTTTTCTGCGACATTGTGTTCAACAAATTATGCAAAAAATTTCTCAATCTGATAGATGCAACTAAGACAGAAGAGCATGTACATTGAATGTAACACTGTGATGAAGTTATTAATAACTGTTTTCAAGTACTCATAGTACTGACATGCAATACATGAAAAACCATTCCTAAATCTACTGCATGAGTAAAAGTAAAGATCACGCTATTATGTCCACAGTTGTATGATAATATTATAAATCATGAAAAATTACATATCACAACTGTGACTGCCCCAATGAATGTAAAAAGTTATGTTTGATTGATTTTATACATTGATATTTATACTAAATTTCTTTTTCGGTTTTTCCCCATACTCTATGTTGTCACAGTTCTTTATGAACATACTCACCAGGAGGAATTGCTGTCACTTCTGGAATACTTATTAGTACACCCGGTGATGGAGTGGCTATTGGAGAGATAATTGTACGAATATCAATGATTTATCAAGAAAACCTACAAACAACCAATTTAAAAATCATTTTCTATAATATTGAATATTATTATCTAGTCCATCAGAACATTAGTCTTTTTTTAAAAATCGCACCACATGGCCGATATCTTGGTATCAATTTTTTTTCTACGACAATGTGTTATTAGTATTAGTATGTATACAATGCATTACTCACCACAGTCGAGATGTGTACAATTCAAAATTCCACTTTCACAGGTGCTGATAAAAAAATAACAAATGGATACCAGATTAATATCTCAGTAATTCTACAAAAACATAATGCATCATATTATATATTAAGTGAGTACAAGTGCAATGAACATATCTTGATGATCTTTACCAACTTACAAGAGTAAACAATTTTTAATGTTTATGTTTAAAAATTAATTTTAATGTTATAGTCTCACCAATTATTACAGTCAGCATGGAACATTGTATCTTTATCAATGTATTGTCCAAGTGGAGGTACTGTAGTAACTACTGGGGTCACTGCTGAAAATATAAATAGACAGCAAGTAAGCACTGGCAATGGAAATCCTGAAAGCATTTAAAAATGATGAAATCATGTAAAATTTTGCTTTGAACCATGAAGATGTGTATCTGTTTTGTTTGCATACATACCTACTGTAAAAATAGGACCACCGGGTCCTCCAGGGCCACCTGGACCATAAGGCCCACCAGGTCCACCAGGTCCACCAGGACCTCCTGGTCCACCTGGTCCTCCAGGTCCATCAGGTTGTCCTATATTTTTAGGCAGGGTTATTTCCGCAGGCAGAGAAGGTCCATTTGGTCCACCCGGCCCATCAGGTCCACCTGGTCCACCAGGCCCACCAGGTCCTCCAGGACCCCCTGGCCCTCCAGGTCCACCTGGTCCCAAGGGTCCTAATGGGTCACCAACATTATCAGGAATTTCTAGTTCTTCTTCTGGTGTTGGTGTAGGCCCACCTGGACCACCAGGTCCATTTGGTCCACCAGGCCCATTGGGGCCACCTGGTCCATTTGGTCCGCCTGGGCCATTTGGTCCTCCAGGACCATTTGGTCCACCTGGTCCACCAGGACCTCCAGGCCCTCCTGGCCCTCCGGGTCCTCCAGGACCACCTGGTTTACCAACATCAGGTGGTGTTGTCTCATCTGTTGCAAGAGTTGGTCCTCCAGGACCTCCAGGTCCACCAGGACCACCCGGTCCACCCGGCCCACCAGGTCCACCTGGACCACCAGGACCAAGTGGTTTGCCAGGTTCACCAATGTCTTCTGGATTTACTTCAGGTCCACCAGGTCCATCAGGTCCATTCGGTCCTCCAGGA